GGAACCATCATTAGCCTTGCCAGAGGGTGATTGTTACTGACAACATGCTACAACTCCGGCTACTTCACGACTGCCTCGTCTCTCATTGTGAGTGCAATTCAGAGAGAGTTTTGGCTTTCTATAGGTGTTGTGTTTAATCAAAAAATATTAGATTGTTGGCTATATTCGCTCGTTAACTTGATGCTCTGCTGTTTCGAAAGTTTCTGGCTATGCACTGTCTTAAATGTAAACATACATACATGCATAACGCGCAAAATACGAATTACATATGCACGTACACACATAGACTCATGGTACTGTTAAGCAGAACCACGATTTATTAGAACATTCAACTATGAACGGGGCAGTTTAACAAAAAAAAACTTCCCTACAACTTCGCCAGGTAGAATTTGTTTTCTCTAGCGAAATGTTAACGAAAAACACTGGCGTAATATCGGAAGACAGCAAAAATATCACAGTCCCGCCGTAGCTCTGCTCTACCGCACCTCAATTTTTTCGGCCTGAAAATCCAGCTACCGGCTTTATAACTCACAAAAAAAAACAGTGCCATTTATGCTATATTGTGTTACAAAGAGTGAGGATGCAGTGTAGATGTTGTAGAATCGTCTTTTACATTCTCGACACATACACGGATACAATCTCCATGTGACGTTTTTTTCAAAAAATACTGCGTATCGTCGAAATTAAACTACAGCCAAGCAAAATATCCCTTTGTAATGTAAAATATCCCAGAATCCATTTTTATGCGTTTTTGTCGTGAAGCACCAAAAACGCAGTTGCAATAGGCAGCAAGAACGTATACTACAGCTCGCGCAGAAATACATAAAAAATTTGACTGTGTAACTGCTTCATTTACCACATTTGCAAAAAGCTGTTTTGAACGAACAGGCACAAAATGTTGAAGACAACAACACCGATAAAGACTGGCAATCACCAGGCCGAACTCACTCTTTTTCACAAACCGATTAATGTGTTTGAGGATCGTAAGGTGCGTTCTTCATTGACAAGCAGTGTAATAATCAAATGTTCAATCAAATAGCAATCAGATGATAACTCGCTTCTCAGAGGCACGTCTAAATTCTTTTGCGGATTGCGAGCACAGCTTCATCCAATTCAGAAATCGGCTTGGGCGTCCCAGGATGCACTTTCTCTTTTCCATTATGAAGTCACTGGGGATACGCAGTAGGCGGGCACGTGTGACAGTGCGTTTTTGCAGTATTTCGTACTGTAGTGAGATCGCTTGAAATCCGACTAGCTAGAATTTCCAACATGCTGGTTTAAAAAATTAATTTTCCACTGAGTGGTGCTTGAACAGGGGACATCCCGTTAAAATTTCAGCTTCATTGCTTCTCTAGTCTCCGAGTTAACGACTCCCCGCCAAAAACTTGCACGGGTCTTCGCGTGAAAACTATGCTGGGAGGCTGAATTTGAAATTTCTAAGTTGAATGTGGGCTGGGAACATCGTCTTGAGATTTCAGATTCCTAGCTTTTTTGGTTCCCGAGTTAGCAATTCACCCGCCAAAACTTTCATGCACTCGTACTCGGGGCCAATACCTGCTTAAGGGTTGCCACCGCGGTCCTGGGACGGCGCTTGGCTGGACAACCCACTGGCAAGATTTCAGCGTGGAAGCTTACTAGGTTGGCAAGTTGAAACACCGGACGGGCGTATACACACATACGTGTACACACAAACATACACACACAAACACACACTGAGGTCGCTACAACATGCGTTTTTGCATTTGCATATATGCAAAAACCCATTATAACTGTACGAGCTCATTAGCCACAGGAGCTGCCCTGATTTCGTCTCGATTTACTAATTCCACGTTAATAGAGCGAATGCTGGCGATGAAAGGTTAAAATTCTCGAAAGGAGGAGGTGAATTGCTTGAATTGCCAATAACCAACATACAACTCGCATCACTGAATGTTTTTTACTAGATCGTCTTTGAGCACTACGCAGAATTCAATGGCAAATACTTGAACTGTCAGTATATATTGAGCTGAAAATTCCATGGATTTAAACATAAATTTCTTGCGAATCATTCCTGCGCACGAAGTATTTGACCAATGTAAAGGCGCCACACAAAATTTCGATATTTGCAAAACTGTTTCGAGCTAATTCCATTTGCGCAGATCTCATCAACTCATCTCGGGTAAATACAAAATTTCTGAGGAAGTTACCATGAAGTTTTACCAGTTTTATTAGGTATTATTTTATGGAACCTATATAAATAAATTGCCATTGCAAAATAATGAGACTTAGTCTAGATCGAAAGCAAATGCTGTGCTCCTGTACAAATTTTATGTTCTTTCTTTCTGTGATCGAGATGACTGAATTCATATTTACGACCTTAACCAGCGGTAGCGCCAAGTCATTCCCCATCAATCGTCAGTATTTCAGTATTCAAAATGGCTGGCAGCAAAGGCGGATATGGAACCGGAAGATTTCACAGAAGCCAAATTTTTCCACTTGAGGCTGCTTCCGGAGGAGTACTGCTATGCAGAATAGTAAGCTACATTACCACAACTATCAGTTTCGCACTTAAAATAACTATCAGTCAAATTCTCACCACTAAAAACACAACGATTTCCACAGACTTGCTAATATGAAATTTGCGATATTACTAAGAAGAGTCGCGAGGCAGTTGCACGATTCGCATGCTCAGCCACTTGCTTGTGTTTGTTACCTTCATTTTACATCCACGCAGATCCGACTGAGTTGAATGAGAACATTATGACAAAAGTCAGCTTACCTTATGTACGTGCAAAAAAAGGAATTCTAGCTATAATTCTGAAAACAAGCCATATCGAGTGTATTTTCACTACGTCTGCGGATGCTGGTTCGTCTACAAAGTATATCAGCGGATTGACGATGTAGGTTTTCTCTAAACAATTGGCGTGTTTTTTTTTATTTGTAACTCATTTTTTCCTACAATTTAGGCGTTTTTAGAGTGTATCGAAATTGCATTACAACGAAATTCTATACATTTATTTGATGAATTAGCTCCAGAACTACAAAAATAAGGAATCTGAGACCTGAAACTCTGATTTCTAGTCATATGGAGAATTAGAAACGTAAAATTGTCTTTAAATTCCTTCTCCATCTTCTCGCAAGGAGCATCAAAGTTTTATTTTCATCATGTAGTATTATGCTGGCCCAATCGCAGTATATAGTTCCATATTCCAAGCTCTGCCTGTCGCCAAACAACGTGTTGTCAACCGACAGACTGGTAAGGAAAGCGTCACAAAAAATCCGAACGCTGGCCTTTTAAAGTTTCATCTCCTTAGCTTCTCTGGCTTTCGATTGAAAATGAGTGAAACAGACCAAACCAGGAGAGAAATGTTTGTTTGTGTGCAGCTACGTGCACAGAGAAAGTAAAGAAAAAATGGCCAACGCACGGGCTGCCCGTGCGAAGATGCGTTTTTTGCAGAGTTCCCCGCAGTTTTTGTCGCTCCCGGCACCGGTTTCTTCGGCAGATGCTTTGCGTTTTTTGCAGAGTTCCCCGCAGTTTTTGTCGCTACCGGCATCGGTTTTTTCGGCGATGCTTCAAGGGCTGCCCGTGCGAAGATGCGTTTTTTGCAGAGTTCGCCGCAGTTTCTGTCGCTACCGGCATCGGTTTTTTCGGCAGATGCTTCTAGCTGAAAGAATTTCAGACTGGCCGCCAGAATTGGCAGGAAACATCCCCTCAAAATTCCAGTCTTCTAGCTTCTCACGTTCTCGACTAAGTAACTTACCCGAAAGGAGCCTTCACGGGCCTGTATGTAGGTACCACGCTTACCCGCGGGCAGGGTTTGAACTCGTTATTACCCACTTGGACAGGGAACACCCCCTAAGATTTCAGCTCTCTAA